ATATATTTATATATTTATATATATATATACTCGCGTATTTATATATATATATAATATTAAATTCATCGTTATTTATTATTAGAATAATTGTTACTTCAATATATATGTGCATGTAAGAAACGATTAAAAATTAACCAAATATTTATTCTTTATAATTCTGTACAATATAGGCTCTTAAAACTCTGCTTATCACTGAAAAAATGTACAATGCGATATATACGGTATGAAGGTATGTCTGGAAAAAATCCTCTCGTTCGCGAAACGTTTAAATCGATACGGTGCGCGTGTCGGCTCGTTGATCGATAATTCGTTCGCGGTCGATCGATGATCGTGCGCGACACGCGCCGGAGGAACCGCAGAGAAGGATTCGTTTCCGCGATCGACAAGAATTTCAGGGCGACGGCGAGCGCGCAAAGATCGCCGACGCGCTAAACAATACTTCATTTGATTTGATTTCTTTTGCGCTGTATAACAAAAAAATAAAGAGTTATGACAATAAAGAATTGGGACGAAACGGTATCGCCAATACACACGCACACACACACACACACACACACACACACGCACTCTCTCTCTCTCTCTCTCTCTCTCTCTCTCTCTCTCTCTCTCATTCTTACATATATGCAACTTATACTCGTTCATTCTCTCTCTCTCTCTCTCTCTCTCTCTCTCTCTCTCTCTCTCTCTCTCTCTCTCACATTCTCTTTTACCTTTTTCATGGGCTCGCAAGATCGCGGCAAAAAACTATTTTATCCTTTTAGATCAATACAAGTCATATAAGTTATACAATGTACATGGAAGATACGTCCGATTACAATGGTTTATTTCCTAATAAACACACCAACCCAAAAGTAACATAACATCAACATAATTTCTTACTCAACAATGTAACTGTTACTTACAATATGTGTTATATTATAATAGTGAGTATAAAATTATATAACATTGATGTTACTTTTAACCGATGCTTACTGAATTGCTGGCTTCTTACAATCGATTAATTTTCTTTTGATACATCCGCGTAATCTTTATTCAAGTACACTTTAAAAATATAGATTTAATATTATGGATGTTAAATATAATATTCTTATCGTGTTGATATAAACATAATAATGTTGATATATATCAACATAATGTGAATTTAATATGATGAATTCTAAGTCAATGTTAAATCAACATTTGTTAACGTCACATTTATATTTTTTAGAATGTGATAAAAAAAATTGAGATAATTGCTGGCAGTCGAAATGAAAATTCTGATAAATGTCGCGAAATAACTTTATTTTTGTGACAACTTTTCTGTTGTGCTTCTCTTTATTTTCATCTTCGGATAGTTTCCAAAAGTTCGTCGATCAATAAGCCGCGCTACAATGTTTTTCCTTTAAAAATAATTAACAGTTCTTATTGGAAGAGATATTAAAAGTCTTTTGGCGCGATCATGCATTTATCTTTTTTATCTTTTTTGTTTTTTAGTACGCTCGCATCCAAGAAAGAGAGCAAAACTAAGAACATCTGGAAGATAAGATCCGTACGGTAACACAGCCGTTATATAAGCTTCATACCAATTACAGATTCTTGTGTCTTATCTGATATACGAGTATGTACAATTTCTTCTTATCCTGCGCGTCGCGTTACAATTGTGAAGTGAAAAGTCGAGCGAAGAATCGTTCTTTGAATGGAATAACATTGAGCTCGCTTGAGAAATTTCATTATCCGCAGATATTTTCGTCCTGCTCTTACGCTAAATTTTTATCCAAATACATCTGCATTCTCCCTCATTTTTTTATGCCATCTTTATCGAAACGTGAAAACATTTTCTTTGTTTATTTAAAAATTCGGCATCTACCGCGACTTTCTCCACGATTTCTTTTTCACTCCACAATCGATAATGTGCGGTGACTGGGACGAAGAATCTTCCTACGGACGTCGTAACAATTGCACGTTTAGCAAAGGATCAATCAGCAATCGGTAAGATTTCCCATCGGCGCGCACAAATGATGAAAATGTAAACAAGCTCCGTTTCGCTTATTGCGCATTCTACTAACATACCCCCGATTGCACGCAATCGACTCTTAGTCGCCACTAATATTCCTCGTCAGATCTCACACTTAATTGCTTATCATTCCAATTCCTTTCTTTGATTTTCTACATACCAGTAACTTGAGATACGATAACAAAAAGACACAAAAAAAATAAATAAATACAATAACAAAGGAAATAGCTAAAAGAAATAATTTTGTTTTAAAGACACATCTCTACAACTCTCTTTTGCATGTACATTCTTTTCATTAGAATATATTAAAATATAAAACTCGATATGTTACTACTTTTCAGATTTTACAGCCGAGTAATAAATTATTTGAAAAAAAAGAACGCGCATAAAAACAATTTTTGATATCTCAAACAATGTTTTGTATCCTTAAACATATTTTATAATCTATTGTTTAGACATATATTTGTAGTTTAACGTAGTATTTTTTTTTTTTAGAATTAACAGTTATTCAGGATTTCTGGTATTATTAAAATGCAGCGACAAGTAGAAAAAGGATTCACCACGGACAATCCTTGCAGGAATCTTCTTTCCCGAAGAGTGAAGATGGTGATAATGATGACGAGATGCGTCGCTCTTCGGCCTCGTACGAAACAAATCTAACGGAATATCTTTATCTTATGTATATCTTGTGTGATTCATCGAATTACGTACGCACGTGACGGGTTTGTTAAAAAAGAAAAAAAATTCTCTCTTCACATCTTTTGCAATTCGGTCGTAATTCTTTCTTCTCCATTTTTAAATATCGATACAAAACATGGCACGCCGCTTCATCAACCATGAGTATTTTATACACATAACTCTTGTTATCTTCGTGGCGAGATTAAGATGATATATTTCTTAATACAAAAAGAAAAGAAACATATAACAGTAATAATAGCGTGTGGTACATAGTAATTAGGATGATACTTAGCGAGAGAAAAGAAAGAAAGAGAGAGAGAGAGAGAGAGAGAGAGAGAGAGAGAGAGAGAGATGGAAAAAGAGAAAGGGAAAAAGACAGAGACAGATGGAAAAAGACAGAAGATAAAGACAAAGAAAGAAAAGATAGGGAAGAGATAGATAGAAGAGAAAGATAGAAAGATAAAAAAATCGTCTAAAAACTGTTCTTAGGGAGTTTTCGAAGAAAAATACAGGTGAATAAATAGCGCCTTACATTGATCGTCATAAATAAATACACGCAGCAGAGCTACAACGTGAAAAGGGATAAAATAGATAATCGTGACGATTAATAATGACGCGTAGGATCTTATAAAAAAAACTATGTAACAAATCGCGCGAGGCGCGTACGTAATATATATGTATATATATATATATAATATATATTTAACGTGTAAAAAAATATAATAAAAAAATATCTTTAAATTTCGCGTCTAACTTCGCGATCTTGTATGTGCGGATTGCACAGCGTGAAGCGAAAACAAAATGACAGAAAGGAAGAAAAATAAAAGTAGAAGAATGAGCGATTGGAGCAAAACGATACCGTCATAGCATATTGCAAAGTTTAATTGTCACGTGAGAGAGGATGCATTCAAGTTTCAAGTGTCAAATCACGAAAGAGCACGTCCTTTTTTTTCTCTGATCCTTCTTTCCTTTTTAAGCACATGAATGGATATACTTGTATACAAAAAAAAAAATAAAAATAAAAAAAAGAAAAAACGATTTGTTCTGAAAATAAAAGAAAAAAGAATGCGTATCCCTTTTCTCATTTGGTGCTTCACGTCCGGCTGGTACACACTCTCCTTTTGCCACATTAAAGTCGACATCGATCATATATCGCTCGAAATATTGTATATAGTATTGTGGTTTATTAAAATTCGTTAATAACTAGTATTTAAAAATCACGACCTAAGTGGTGATTTGAGAAATATGCTTCTTGTACAAGGTAATTTTACGTCGCTGCCGCGGATACCCCATTAAGGTGTCGATCGTTGCGTATGAATATGAGCCTCGTTTCTTGTCAGGACATTATGCACTAATACACTGCACCGGTTTATGTCCTTCAAAAGTTCACACCTGATCATCATATTGCTTTGAGGTCACATCGACGAGCGTAAGAGAAATCTTTGAGCGTAACACGTCGACAAACATTAAGATGGATTCCGCCTGAAGTTGTTTCTACATAGACTGTTTCTACAGACTTAAGTAATAAATAGAGTTAGACATTAGTTAGCTACGCAATGAATGGAAATGATAGATTGTGGTTGATATACTAAGCGTACCCTTCGTAGAATCTCTTTACAAGAGATTCCGTATCTTTAAAAGATATTTAGAAGAGAACTTATGTGTGATGCACATAAAAAAAACGTAAAGAAAAATTGATCGATATACAATGGTCGTTATCATTATACTTTGTTTTAGATTGAGGTTGGATGCTTTCCACCAAGAAACACAGATGACTCATGTCTAATTCTACGAATGTAGATTAAGATTAATCTTGGTTTAATTTTTTATCTTTTTCTAATTCTAAGAATTAGAAAAGGATAAAGAGCAAGTTAAATAGAGATTGAAATTAATCTATATTGGTAGAAATGAATATCAGTAATACAGAGAATAATTACATTTGTTGTTTATCGATGTTAAACAAAGATAAAACATTATACTGTGTCACCTATATCTCTAGCTGGAGAACACTTATTGATTAATTAAACGATCTATATTATGAACGAAATTGTAGATGCACAAAAGATACGCATAGATAAGAGACGGTTTTATACAATGATTACGCAACGAGATGACACCTTAGTGTGGACCGTCGATACACCCGACGAAATGCACATGTTGTTGGTTTTTCCTTTTTTTACTATTTGTGGTAAATTTTGGGCACTTTGTGAAATTTCACTTCACCCTCAGATCATTTACAATAATTAATAATTTATATTACACTCTTACAACATTTCTACCGAGTCTCTATCTCAGTATTGAACAATATACACTTTCTATTTTGTATGCACGTGTGTGTAAATATCGCAAATGTGTTCTGTGTGTATTCAGCGAATATATCCTTACGTATACACGAGGACGACAAGGTAGTGTCGGTGTCGTGCCACGTGATACATGATACACACGCGCACGCAGAAAATCGTCTAAGAAAGAATCACTAAATTACCATATTATACAATTATCATTAATTATCACCTAACTTGGCATCCTTGCGGGAGCGGTGCGGGCGGACACCCCGGCGAGTTGTGATTCGCGGACTGAGGCAGCAATGGAATATCGTCTTTGGAAGATTGCTTATCCATGCACAGCGGTTGCTGCTCCTCTTGTTCGGCTCTCGTTTCGATGACGGGGACGGCGACGTCGGGGGCCGGCAAGCGTTCCACTGCCACCACCGCCGTCGCCATCTCCTGCTCGGCGCCACCGATCGGCAACGACGCCGCCGAGTTCATTAATGTCACCGTCGCACTAGTACTATTACCACTACCACCGCCGTCATCCACACTCGCGCTACTCGCTACCACAGGATCCTTTAGTTCGTAGCCCTCCTGACAGCGAGTCAATTTTAACCGGATCGGCGTCACTTTCGCCGAGCGGATGTTCCTTGGGGCGCCTACGTTCGGATCGGTCGGCTGCTTCTCGTCAATGCCACCCTCCATCGAGTAGACACCGGTCTCCTCCTTGGCAGGCTCGGGCGGCGGTGGACCAACTCGGTTGTCCTTGTTATCCGATGACGCCTGTTGTTGATTGTCATCCTCGTTACCGGCGGCAGACGCATTGTTCGACGCGTCGCTCGTAGCTGAAGAGTTGGCGCCCGCCGCCTTGCCCAGCCGTATGATAAGTTTGGGCGTCGCGGCACCGCCCTCCAGAATTTGCACCCGTGCCTCCTTTTTACTAGACTGTCGCTTCTTCCGCTTGCCGTTCTTGTCGCGTTTGTTTTTCGTCTTCTCGTCATTGTCGAATCCTGCCATGATCATCTTGCGGAACTTCATGCTCTCGCGACGGAGCTCCTCCATACTAGGTGTGCTCGGGATACTGCTAAGCCGTTTCTTCGGTGGCCTGATCCTGCTTCGATCATCCTGCGCGTTACCCATCTCTTGTCCGCCGATTATACTATTACCGATCTTGATCTTCAGCTTTGGAGGGCCGGCACTGTTTGTCACCGTGGTGGCGGTCGGCCTAGTTTGTCTGCCTCTTCTGCGATCGCTGACTGTGCTAACCATAAGACCACGCTTCCTATCGGAACTACTCTCCTCTTCGCCCGCTACTACGTCGAGGAAGCTGCTGCCGCCACTAACGCCGCCACCGCGTTCCTTCCGTCGTTTCTTCTCCATATTTGCATCAACGACTGCCTTGTAATCCTCTCGAGTTGGTATACTTGTCATCGAAGCTACAGCTTTGGGGATGGTAATAACTGTGCGATTCGGATTGATAGTTGGAATGGTTGGCGTGGAGGCGACGCTACCGCACGCAGGATCATCCATGTTCATATCCTGTGAACAGTATTGACGCAACAGCTCCTTCTTTCGCATGCGACGTAGATTTGATGTGCCGGATGCGACAGATGCGCTGGTTGCAACTGGTGCCACCGGTGCTTGTTGGATCAATGGTGGTACCGATGGCGTATAGTTCGCATCGAGGAACGGGCCTTTGATTTTCACTTTCAATTGATTGCGTGAATCAGTCAGAGAAACCTTGTTCGTGTCGAAGGTGGTTGCGGACGCCGAGTCAATCGCCGAGGGATCGCCAAAGCCTGGTTTCGCACCGGGCTCTTCGAAGCCGCCGCTCGCAAGTTGTTGCTGTTTACCGGTGATCTTCTTCAACACAGAACAATCTCCATGCAGTAAATCGTCAAGTTCCGGCAAGTTCGAGTCCGCACCTACGCTCGCGGCGAAGCTGCCTAACAAATGGTTACCGTACGGCTGACCGTGAACCGACGAGCTCGGTTGGTCTACGGTCGAGTTGTATGTACGCATATCCACTGGACCTGGTAATAGCGGCATGACCGTGTCAGCGAATTGATGGGTGCTCGACTCGGACTTAGCTATGGCAGCTTGATGATCGTGATGTGCCGCCGGTGACGCAAGTTTCTTGTCGTCGGCGTACTTCTTCGTGGTGTGCAGCGTTGGACTAGATAGATGGGACTGTATACTACCATCGTTCGCCATTCCGCCGAGAGGCTCACTCGCACGGTTCTTTTCATTCACATCAGTGGACTTCTTGCGCTCGCGCATTGTCCTCAGATCCGCGATGTTAGTTTCATTCGCCGAATCTTCGTCTGAGTCAAAATCGTACACGGTGCCGACTAGCTTGTTCTGGATAGAATCGTCGTTGTGTAGCGCGTTCGACATCGGCACCATCGCGATCGACGGGTTCTGGTTGTTCCTACCACGTCCCCGTCCTCGACCGCGACCGCGATTTCGATAACTCGAATGCTGGGATCCCTTAGAGTTCCTGCTGCGACCACGAGAATTCGGAACAGATTTCGTAGTCTCCTGACGTGGTGATTTTCCAGGTGATTTGCCCTGCAAGGATGTTACTCTGGCGGATGTTCTCGTCGGTTTTGACGGTGACTTCTTGCCGGACGGCGCGCTTTTATTATCTGCGCTAAGTACCTCAGCTATATTCTCCACGACAGTCTCACTGCTGGCCTGCGTCTCCGTGATGGTATTGAGGAAGGATGCCGGCACGGCAGGCGAATTAGCCGGCTGTGACAGCAAAGACGGCATATGTCCCGATGGCAGCGCTTCCGAAGATGGTGACTGCGTCGTGGATGGTTGTTGCTGTTGTGGTTGCGGCTGTTGTGATACCGGTGGTGGTGGCGGCGCCGGCGGTGGCGTGGTTACCTTCGTTGGCGATACCATGGCTGCGGTGAGAGCCATGTTATGCGACGACGAGGTAAACGCAGCGGTGCATGGCGATGCCCCGATGTTGAGTGACTCTTCAAGCGGCTTCGGCACGTGCGGCAGCATAGACTGTGGTGTCGGGAAAGGAGCGCCAAACGGTGGTGGGAACGGTGATGGATAGGGCAACGGACCAGCACACGATTGCGGTGGGAACAGCGAAACCGCTCCGGCGCCATAAGAGCCGGTCTCCGAATAGTGATAAGGTGCTGCGTCCATTGGCGGATAAGACATCGGAGGTACGTTCTTGTAAGGAGGAATAGCCGTATGCTCCTCCGCGGAAGACGCAGATGTGATAGATGACGACGTGGATCGTCGTGAAGGTAAAACTTGGCTTTCGGCCCATCGCGTGTCCGGTCGACCATTAAGCTCATTGTAAGGCGAATCGTTCTGCGTATAATCTTGCCTAATGTCCGACGAGACATCCTCCTTGTCCAGCACGCGGTCCATCTCACTGCCCTGATCGTCTTCCGAGTTGGGCAGACCGATTAGGTGACGATTCACCATCTCCATGGGCGTGATCTCGTCGACGATTTGCGTTGATATCCCTGCATTGGCTGCTGTCATTTGTTGATCCATCATCGCCAATGATTGCACGCGCGATTGCTCCTGTGCTGCGGCATGCTGTGCCTCGAGATGTTGCTGCACTCGCTCCATTGAATGTGTCTGCTGCAACTGTAGATACTGATCCTGCATGTTGAGCTGGAGGTGCGCAACCAGCGCTGCATCTGGATTTGCCACAGGATCCGGCATCACTGCGCCGATGTCGTTCGAGAATTGATGAGCGGCGGCAGCTGCGGCGGCAGCAACGTAACGGTGATTCTGGTTGTCTATTAACGTATTAAGATGTTGCACGTCGCTCGGATTGAAGTTGTCCATGCTTGGTGGTACCCATCTCTCGTCCGCCTCGGCTCTATCAAGTTTTGCACGTTCCACTACCGTCACTTTGGCCGTCTCACGTTCTTCGTTTCCGTACATATAGTGCTCATTGCTATTGCTCGAATAACAAGGCTTTCTCTTATCCTCCATAGTATGATTCTTGCACGTCAGATCCTCGGACATCTGCGCAGGTTCCGAACTGCTGTTGCTCTTAATCTCGATTGATTGTACAACTGATTGCTGTCCCACTGGTTGTTGTTCTTGCACGTCCACCTTCTCTTGAAGCAGAGGCTGCTCCTCCGTTGGTTTTTCAACCGGATGAAGAGGCGGTTCCTCCTTTTTCAGAACCTCCTCTTCCGCCGGAACGGATTCTAACTCGAATTGACTAGAATTCGACTTCTTCGATAATTCCATGCGCAGTTTTTCTACTAAGTGCAGCGTTTCCCGCGCACTATCCTCTTTAGAGTCTTCCTTGAACCAAAGTTCATTATTGAAGGAGAACGAAAGCGGTGCTGCTCCTCGTTCCTCATCGCGTGGTATACTGAAATCATTCGCGTCATCGTTCACCATGTCATCGGTCAACATGTCCTGATCGAAGTCGAACAGCTCCGACACGCTGGGATCCTTGCCGCCGTGTTGCGGTGAAAAGATAGAACGATTTACGGACTTTCTTCTTTTCTGCTGACACTCTTTCTCAGAAGTCACATTTTCTATTAATGTAGTAGAGACTTTATCGGGCATTGACCTCAAACAAACATTATCGTTGGACTCCTTAATAACGGTCTCTTCAACCGTAATCATCTCGACAGCAGCCTGCGTCTCGCTCTCGAGCTTCCGCTCTGTCTTCTTTCTCCTGTCCGTAGGTTTCTCTGAAATAATCTCGATATTCTTCTTTACATCTTCTTTTTCTAATTTCATTATGTCTAACATAGCAACTTCCTCGCTCATGTGATTCTTAATATCCTCGTTCTTGATAGTTTCCTTAGCGATGGATGCTACAATTTTTAAATCTTTATTCTCTTCGTTACATTTCTCCTGCTGAATAGCAATTCTACTCCTTGAAAGTTTGTCAAGATGTTCGCGTTTTTCAAGTAGCTTGTCCAGTCCCCTCGATGATTTCTTCGGACTGTCTCGTTCCGCTCGTCGCTGTTTCATCTCCTCTTCCAATGTATTGATCGCATTCTTATTACTTGTTTTCTTGACCTTTTTGTCATCTATTTTAGGAGTATTCTCAGTCGCTTTCGAAGGTTCTACAAGTTCTGGGACATTTTTAATGTTAGTAGTATCATGTTTATCTTTCTCGGTTTCCTTGGATGTCTTTTCCATTAATTTCTTTTCCACTTTCTTGAGCGATGTCGTTTCCTTGTTACCCTTGTCCTCCTTTGCGGTAACCTCGCTTGATTTTCGTTTGCGCGTCTCCGATTTCGCTCTGGACGCTGCTCCGCCGCTGTCCTCTTTGCCTCTGAGAGTAGACTGTTGCTGTTGTGTCTGCTTAATCGACTGACTCGATTTTTTGGTAGATTTGGCCCCAGATACACTTCGTAGCCCAACATTATTTCGAGACCCACCGAGCACACTTTGGTCAGCTGACTGTTGTGTTTGCAGGGATCTTTTGGAGTCTCTTTGGTCGGCTCTTTTACTGGACTGCTGCTGCTGTTGCTGTTGTTGTTGTTGCTGCTGCTGCTGCTGTTGTTGTTGCTGCTGTTGTTGTTGAGCCTGTTGCTGCTCCTTAGGTATGACGGTTCTACCTGATTCTTCTCTCTCAGTAAGCGGCGGCTGAAACTCTGGTCCATGCCGCCCGTCGGAAGTTTTAAGCTTCTTATCGGGCAGCTTCTTGAGTTTCCGTCCTGCGACAGTCCTCTTCTCAGATTCGACCGCTTCGTCTGTAATTTTATTCGTTGACTGCCGTTTATTCGCAGTTTTATTCTTCACTTGATTACCGTTATCGCTTTCAGAGGACGTAGTATTGGTAGTAGTTGAAGAGGAAGTTGGCTCCTTAGTGATGCTTGACATTTTCTGTATCGGACTCTTAGCTACATCGGAATCGCTGCTACTCTCCGAAGAGCTACTGCCACTGCTACTATCACTGCTGCTGCTCTCGCTATTGCTGCTTTCAGGCACCTGTTTCTTTCCCCGTCTCTCTTTCAATAGTGACTCTTCCTTTCTTGTCGGCAGCTCCTCCTTCTTCGGCGATTCCTCCTTTTTGACCTCTTTCCTCTTACCACCATCTGGCAATTCCTTCTTTAGTTTTCCATCCGCGGTTTCGAGCTCGGATTGAGTAGTTTTCGTGCCCATACCGCTCTTGATGTGTTCTGCGGCTTTCTTTGCAGCTTGCCGTTGCGGTACGTAAGCAAGAATCTCCGAGCCATCGCCGAATTCCTTGTCGAAATCATAAACGTCATTATTCTTAGTGTCTTTTGATGTCTTGTTGTCGCGCTGTTTCTTGCCAGATGGTTTTTCTTTAGTCGGTTTCAGAGGTTCTCCAGGCGATTTCACAAACTCTACAGGTTCGCTCGTGGTATTCTCTTTCTTACCCTGTGTTCGCTGCATGATTTCAGATGCCTTCTTCGCCGCTTGCCGCTGCGGAACTATCAGAGCGGATGGTATATATTCTTTCTTCTTCGAATTTTTCACGTTCTCTTTATTCTTCGTAGATTCATCTTGATAATCTGACCTTGTGGCATCTTTACATGTAAAGTTTTTCTGCATGTTCTTTGATATATCCGCTGCTGAGAATTCCTTCACCGCAGCTTTTGTGATAAGTACGGCCGAATGGGAATGATGCTCTTGTGAATCTGAATCGGTATCCGAATATATAGCAGAAGCTGCTGATGGACCGAGGCGAGAACTGGCGTTGGTGCTCAACGGTAACAATTCGTCGCTCTCGCTACCAGAACTACCGAGCTCTATATGTTGCAGAGTACGTCTGTTCACCATGTCCAGTTTATCACTTTCGCTACTATCACGCAGTTTGACTCGTGGCCTGTCCGGTGCGTTCTTCTTTGTTTTTCGTCTAGCGGGAGTTTTGTTCTTCGACAATGCATTCCCATCATCTTCTGAACTCGATTCGATCTCAACTTTCAAAGTCTTAGATTTGTTTGTGCATTTACCGGTTGTTTTTCTCTCCATTTTTATTGCGTCCGTTTCGCTACTACTCATAGATGACAAATCGCTACCGTACAGACTCTTCCCTCTGACCGAACCATTGAAATAAGGTTTCTTATTAGACGCACCGTTGAAGTCCGGCTGCATTTTCTTCTCATCGGTAGACGTTGGTGTGGGCGGTTCAACCTTGATTCGGGCGAGTATTGTGTTGAAGTCATGAGTATGATCTTCGGCATCGGGATGGGAATAGAGACGATCATATATTGAAGGTCCATGATTGGCTTCGACAATAGCTGCGGCCGTCGTCGGAGATAGTGGCGGTCCTGCCATCACCATTGCCTGTTTGTGGAAGGTTTGTTCGCGCAGTCTCAGGAAAGTGCGACAGAGTTTCTCGCGGCGGCCAACCATGTAACACAAGTTTCGTACGCGTTCCAAATCTTGTCGCAATTGAACAAACGTACGCATTTTTTCTACATCGGCCGCTTGACCTTGAGCGCGAGCTCCTGCACTCGACAGTTCACCACAACGAGGAGCTAATAATGGTTTATTATGACCAGCCTAAAAGGTAATATATACGAATTACAAACCATATCCACTGTAATATTCTCACATCTAAGAATTTGTATCGACGACTTACTCGTCTCTTCAATTTCCAATAGTTATATATGTATATGATGCTATCAGGATCTATATCCAATTGTTGGGAAGTAATATCCTTTATACTAACATGCTTATCAAATTCCGCTTCAATTTCTTGCAGCCTAATATGAATTGAAAACAACAATTGAATATTACACTTATTTTTCTA